AGCGTCATGTCTTTCACCTCTCCTTATCAGACCCAAAGCACCAGACCAGATCGAGGGAAGGGGCTCTTGGAGGTCCCAGATGGCCAAGAAACTGTGCGGAGTGTCGTTTCAGGGAAATGATATATATATTTTTTTTTGTTTTGTTTGGTCCATGAACTTATTTAACGTGCCTCTTTGAAAGTACCTGCCCTTGGCGGGCGGCTGGCAGAGCCCCGCGTCGGGCAGATGCAGCTGCCCTGGGTCAGGTTTCATTGCTGTTGGATTTCGGGGAGGGGGGGTGTGTGCTTTTTTTTCTCTTCCTTTTTAAACAAAGCCTTGAAGTGGGAAGTGGATCCGATGTTTTTATTACTGTATTAACATGCATTTTAATTCATTTCAGAAACTAACCCATTTTTCTTCTTGATTAGAATGTCATAGAATTAGACGAGCTGTAACCCTCCTGAAGTGCCTTATTTTCTTACACGATATAAATATATTTATAAGAGTAATTATTCCACATGTATCATAGGGGTTTATTACTGAGCAGAAGATACAGTGAGGAGCAGAGATGGGAAGTGGCCTCGAAGGACCCAGCCAGGCTGGGGGTCGGAAGGGCGCCGTTTGACGGATACTCTCAGGGTGCAGGGGGTTACTCTACTTCAGACCAAAGGAGTTTCTGATTAAGAAAAAAAAAAAAAAAAAAAAAAAAAAGAAGAAACCTCATGAGCAAAATACTGTAGACTTGTTTGGTTTTCTTACCCCTGCAAAATAAACACTGAGGGCCAAACTCTGCCGCCTCGTGGGCACGGATGCAGCGGGTGTAAAGCTGTGGGGGGAGCGGAGCCCGGACCGTGTCCGTACCTGCGCATCCTTCTGTTTTCTCCTGTAATGTCTGTCTGTGCCTTTCCCTGCCCGTTGCTGTGTAAGGCAGGCTTTCCTGCTGCTTTTTTCTTTTTTTTTAATAATCAGCTCAGTAACCCCTCTATGAAGATCCTAACTGCAAATTTTTTTTTTGTAATGTACATATAAAAAAATAATAATAATTTTTTGGATCCTTTTTTAAAACTGTAAACTTGATAAAACCTTTCTATCCAATCGGTGCCTGCGTGTGTTACTCCGGGCCTCTGCGGGAAGCCGCGGCGTGGTCCTTCGCACGTGGAAAGTGGCTGGGCCCCGGGACAGGGGCGGGGGGTGGGCAACTTCTCCTGCCCGGGGACGCGCTGGGCAGCGTGAGCGGCTCACGCCTGTACAACTGGTGTCCCGTAGCGTGTTGTAATTTTGCAGGGTTGTGATTTGGGGGAGCCTGGCTGCCTCCGGCCTTCCATCACCGGGTGCCAGGCTGAGTCCTGTCCGCAGTGCCTGGGCAGAGGGATGCAGAAAGCCAGCGGGTCCCGAGCTGCCTCGTGGCCGCCTTTTGCAGTACCCGCGCCGAGGTGGGCAGAGGATTATGGATGGTGGTAGTTAGTGCTGCCTGCGGTGGGTAACGGCGCCGAGGAAGCGCTATCCAGGAGGAGCGACCAGCCTCCCGCGGGTGCTCCCTGCCATACGAAATGAGCCCGTGCTCCATCTTGCAAGAGCGGAGCGGCTGCCGCTGGGCTGGGAGGGGGCTGCTTCTGCGTTTTTTTCTTTTTTTTTTTTTTCCCCCTTCTTTTTGCCTCCATTTCAGCTGCTCAAGGTCCCTTCTGCAGTTAATCTGCCCGGCCCCAGCCGCAGCAGCCGTGGCTCCTGGCCCTCTTTCCAGGTGCCTTGTCTGGGTTTGGTACGTGAGCCTGTTGTGCGGGTGGAATTTCTTGCTGGTTGGTGGAGAGCAACAAAAGGATCCGTCCCTGCTGCTGCTCCTCATCCCTGTTTTTACCGCCAGCTTTGCTCTGCCAAATTCCCTTGGCTTCTAGAAGACACCCGTGCACTCGCTCTGCAGCGCTGTGCCTTTCTTGGCTGACAATAGTCCCTGGCTGCAAAACCTCATTAGATTAATTGGCCTTGCCAGCTTCTGAACAAGCAAGCCCTTTAGTCGTGCTGGGGCGCGGAGGGCAGGGGAAGGAGGGATCTTTGGGGCTTCCACACTCCCTGGTGCTGCGTGTCCAGGCTCGTGGTTCCATCTCAAATCCAGGAGGAGCCGTCGGTGCCCCTGGCTCCTTTGCCTGGATGAGTCTGGCTGTGGCCAGGGCTACCTTGGTGCATCTGCTGCTTTGGGGTACACACTAGCACAGAGCCCTGCACTTCTGGGGTGCCAGGCCTTGAGAGTCACCTTTGGGAATTGGGGAGGTGTGTGTATTGGTGAGCATCGTGCTGGTTTACCCCACT